TACGACAGATTAGTGGGAGGGGGAGACCTTCAGGCTCTGGGTGCCAGCCCATTACCTGGAAGGTGAATGCTCTTCCCCCCTGCCCCCACCATGTGGCCCGACGACCCTGTAAGGAGCTCACACAGACCACCAGGGAGGGATGGACGAAAGAGGAAGTTTATTGTGGGGTAGGGGTTTATAAGGCTTTTAGGAGGGTCAAAAGGGGACCAATCACAAGTTCAGGGTCACATAGAAAAAACCAATCAGGTAAAAAGTCAACAACCAATAGGAAGGGGTTAACAAGGACCAATAAGAAACACCTCAGGACACCTTCCCAGGACACTCCTGTATGGGAGACAAGTCCCTCACAGGGGGTGTCGGGAAGAAGGGGCAATGACTTTGCAAAAAAGCAAAAGCCATTTTGAAAACTGTTTAAACCACATTAAAAATTTCTGTTTCTATAACATTTGAGCTGTTTTCTTTTTCTTCACTAGTCCATCTCTGACAGGACTTCTTCCATCCTACATATGGCAAACCCACTGCCACAGTTATCTGCATAAAAAGGTGTGTGCTCGGGGCTTGGTGGGGTTGTAGCTGGCACAAGTACCTAAAGCTTCCACTGAGAGAGATTTACCTCACACAAAGACCTTTTCACTCCTGGGTTATGAAGATGCAGTGCTAGTGAAACTAGTGAAGGCTGGGCATGAAAGAGAGTGCAGTCCATCCAAGGTCCATTAAAAGTCACTGCTTTTTAAAATCTACTATTCTAATTATAATGATGATTTCTGTGTTGTGGGTTCTTATCTCCAGATATTTCCCAAGCAGGACAGTCATTGATTTTCTGACACTACAGGTCTAATCCCATTTCAAACAAATAGTGGAGGTTTCAAAGAGAAATGACAAATCCTTTCATCAGTTCTGTCTTCTAAATATAGAATATAGACAAAGCATTTATGGGATTTAAAAATTCTGTTGATTTAGGCTGTATTTATTGAAAACAGTCTTTCCTATCTGTAAGTCTTGTCCCTGGAGAATTTTGTATTTTAATGAATACATTTGCTTTTATTTTAACCAAAATAAGATTACTTTTATATGAAGGCTCCAAATAAGAAGCAAATACTGGTAAATGAAGAAGGTGATTGTGTTCTATAAAAACCATTCCCTATTATGGAGGGTACTGAATTGTAAAATATGTACTTTTCATATAGCACATACTCTGCTTAACTACTCCTCAAGGCGACCATCTGTTCTTATCTATCTTGAACAAAAGCAATAAAATATTATTAAACTGTCAAAATCCATTTTTCCTCCCATTTAAAAACAGAAAAATATTGCTTTGAACTGGGAAAAATATCCATTGCAATTGAAAAATATATGAAAGGATGAAAATGCTGTGAAGGCTGGCTTTCATTTAAACCTTTTCAGAGGGGTAAACTCAGTTATAAAAAAAAGAAGAAAAGAACAAAGCATAATAAAATCAAGATAGTTCTTCAGAACATTGTGTCTTGTTCATACTACTTTGCATTTTATCATGCTAGTACTTGGTAGCATTAAGCAGTATCAAAGAAACTTTGCTGACTGATATAGAACAAACAGTGGTGGTGCAGTAGAACAAATTATTGTTTCTAAAGGTAAAAGAATAGTAAAGTTTTTGAGAGTCATAATTGATAATAAATCTCCTATGATAGCAATGCTGTTTTATATTATTATGCTAAGCTAAAGTATACAGCTACTAAAATAATTACCGTTAATTTTAAAAGAAGCAATTAGCTGTCCCAGCATGCTGACATTTGTGATTTTACTTTCCATTGATCTAAACAGCATCAGTCTTTCATCACACTCCTGCTTGGATTGTCCTGGAAATGTAAGGCCCGCCTTTCAAAACAACAACTGTTTTTTATTTAAAAAGTTTTAACCCTAAAACCAGATCAGGTTATGTGTTTCAAGAATTTTGGCTTTTACCAAAAGAACATCTCTTACATTTTTTAAAGTTTTGTACCTGTAAAAATGGATTCAACAAGACTGTATTTGTTGAACAACTGTATTACCCATCTCCCAGTAATTAATTATTCTGCCAAAGTATCTTGGCAGACCATAAGCTCAGCCTTGTCTCCTCTGCCATGCAATATTAACATACCATCTGGGAAGTCTGGGTGACAGAGTTGCAAGTCTTTGCAGGTTCGGGCAGGGTTATTCTGAGTGCCCATTGGGTACTTCATGTGCTCAATGTCTTGCTTCAGCGAATTCAGTGAACCAAAGATCTCTTCCATGCCATCGGAATAATCCAGAATATTATCACCAGCATCAGATAACATATAATCAGGAGATCTTCTTGTCTTCTTGGGTGACTGGATTGGCAGTGGCTGGATTACCTCACCCGGAGGGCCCTGAGTAGAAAGCAAAAGATCTGATTATCTTTTCTGTTTGTTTTTCAGCTGAGGAAGACCACAGAATGTGGCTTGGAGATGCCTTGAATAGGCTTTCTTCAAAGTGTTTATTTCTTTATTTTGCTTAATTCCTTCAGATTTATACCTGTGTGTTTTGATTTACTGGCAAAAAAAAAAAAAAAAAGATTGTAGAAGCCAAACCCTTGTTGTGCTCTAAACTCATCTCACTACATTGCTGTTTGGGGAAGAGTGTGTTGCCCTCACAAGACAGTGTAGAACTGACTTGCAGTTACCTCTGTATCCCTGACAATTCCCTTGAGCACAGACATAGTCTGTGAAAACTGTGGATCTTTCCTGTGATAAAACTTCAAAATTCCACTTGGGGTCTATGAAGCAATATTTAATTTCAAGAAATTGAAACACTTCATTCAGATTTGGACTCTTTTCATTTTATATTATTATGATATGAAAAATAGTGGAAACAGAGGAATATCACCAGAGGAAACTAGTATCATTCTATTTTCTGTGCTTCAATACACACCTTAAATAATTATTCCATGAGGGTTTTTTGTTTGTAGGGGGCATATAGGGGGGTTTTGGGTGTTTTATTTGGGGAGGTGTTTGTTTCACATTTCTAATGGACTTTGCAGTGCAGACATGTATTTCTGTGTCTGGGGATCTGTGAAAAATGATTCCCAAAAAATTAATTTTCAAACAATCATTATTATTTTAGTTCAAAAATGCTGGGTTTTACCCTTGTCAAAACAGGGGGATTGTGTCAATGTAATGCCAAGATAAGAATTCTTACTTACTGGAGGACCAGGTGGACCAGGTAACCCACTGTCACCCTTTTGACCAGCAGGACCCTATAAAGCAATGAAAGAAATGCAGTGTTGGCCATGCTACACAATGTTTAAAAATAACACACAAAACTTAAGTAAAAGAATAAAAAATAGGAGAATTACTCACGCTGGATCCTTTAGAACCCTTTGGACCCTGGGGACCCTATGGACAAGAACATATAACTATAGTTGGAGTGTATTGAACACAATGTGGAAGTGTTTTGAGCAGGAGGACTAGATGAAATTACTTACAGGTAAACCAGGAGGACCAGGGGGTCCAAGTGGACCAGCAGGACCAGAAATTCCCTAAAAATGAATAAGAGAATAAGCACAAAACTAAAGTATCCTACATACTGCAGTGGATTAAAAATGAATGTCTATGAAAAAGGTAGTCCAACTAAATGTCCAACTCTGATGAGTTTTGATTTAGGCCATTTGCTAGGGGCCAAAAGAGTTTGCAAATTTAAAATATTATCTGACGAGTTGCTTGTAGTTGTTCTTACACTGCAGTCACAACTGTGTTCCTCTTCAAACTGGTTTGGAAAGCTCACTTTTTACATAGTGTCTTAATAACAAGGAGAAAGAAAGCTACTTTGAGTCGTGCAGTTAATAACCATGATGAGATTGGTGCTGCTAGTTTTATCTTGTCCCTAACTTGCGTTATGTGTGTATAGTGTGGTGTATGTGTTTTCTTCCATTTTCTCAAACATTCTATAATCTCATTTTAAGCTGTTTAATTTCACTGTGTTTGTACGATGCCTAAGAAAGTTGTAACCTCTGGCAGGAGGCTCTGGGTGTTAAATGTTTATAATAACTTTGTCTTTCAAAAGAAAGCCTGGAATATGTACTCCTTGCTTGTATGGAACTTGAATGGAAACACAAATGCCTTGTACTCACTGCGTCACCCTTGGCTCCAGGAGATCCCTGTGGGCCAGGAAGACCCCTATCACCCTTTTCACCCTGTTCTCCTGGAGGTCCAATCAGGCCAATCAAACCAGGATGTCCCTAAACAAGATTGAAGACAATATAGTTAAAACTCAATATACATTAGAATAAATGTGTTTTGCAGACATGTAGATTAAACCTTTCACATGCTATTGCTGTTGCTTGACAACAATAAACCTGGAAACAAATTATTCTAAAAACATATTTGTTGTCGTTAGATGGCCTTTTAAACTTTATTTGCAAGTTGTGACTGCTTATTTAGTGAAAGATCCAAGTGCAAGATAGTCCTTACTGAAACTGATACAGAAATAACAATACCTGTGGGTACAAATTTCATAGCAAATTTCACATTTATATGCTATAAGCATATCATAGAGTTGCACATTTGTTCCACATGTGATATAGCTGTATAAACAGCTGATCCAAGGAGATAAAAACCCCCTAAAATTCACAAAGTACAGTCATATTCATATCCCTTTCTCTACAGTTTTTCTCTGATTCACAAGCAATCAATAAATTTTTGTGACTCCATTAGAAAATGCTACCCCAGATGTCTCAAAAAATTATTTAAAAAGGAAGTATTATAGCTTTTAAATATATATATATTGTTGTTTTAAAATAAAAATCTCCAATGTTTGGTATTTCTACTTACTTCGTTCTTGTAAAACTGACAGTTCTCTTTACATCAATATCTTTGGGATTTTCATTGCAAGGACAGATCATGTGGTCAATACACAGGCAGTAATCTTTTTCTTCCTATTACAAAGGCACAAACAATGCTAAAGCATACCTTCTCTCCTTTGGAACCTGGATCTCCTTTCAGTCCAGGCAAGCCAGGTGGACCCTAAATAAATCAAGGGAAGTAATGTTAAAATAAGTTTTAACATACTGCACAGATCATGTTTTCTTGAAATATTATTAAAGGCAGTGCGAATCAAAGTGCATTTATGTGCTTTGTAACAGTTATATACTTATTTAATCAGAGTACAGTGGTTGATGGTAGTGATTCATGGAATGTGATTTACAGCCCAAAATAAAGTTGAAATGTATGTTTAAAAAGGCAAATTGATGCTACTGTGGTATTTAAATTTCTTTATAACTAGAAATCTAGAAAGGGTTGTATGATTAGAAATCTGTGAAGCCGAGGGCCAACTAAATTCTTGATTTGTGAAATCTTCAGATGTTTATAAGAATGGCAGTACTGGTTTTGAGTAATTTGTACAGAGTGGGATGAAAAATTCAGGCCAAGCAGTGCATATGCAAGAGGCATTAATTTCTCAGGGGCTATTAATCTCACCCTGAACATGTATACATTAGGTGTAGAGCTGCTAGACTTAGTCAGTCTCTCCTCACTGCAAGTCTCCTGGTGGCAGTGGACATCTGTGAAATTCTGATATGGATGGCAGTAATAAGTGACCTTTCCAACCTGGCACGGTTTCAGCAGTGCCATAACACTTCATGTACAAAATGTTATTCACTGCGTATGCTTTCCATCTCCACTTCAGGATATCACCAGATGCAAAAGCCTAGGCAAATACATAATTCATGAAAGAAATGTGAAATTTTTAAGCTTTTGGAATACAGAATCAGACTTTTCACCTGCAGTGTGTTGTGCTCTACTGCAAATCAGCTTTCATATTCTTCTTCTGATAGCAATCTGCTGCAGAGGATGGGAGGGGAAGGAGGGAGACCTAACCTCAGCATCTTTTACATATAAATTTTACTTTCTTAAAATCCAAAATTAAGTTGCAGCAATGTATTGAAAAAAGTTCTTGTTGCACTGACAGGAAGTCTGTGCATTTGGGAGTATATAGTTCATTAATATACTCAGCTTCAGATTTGAATTGAATATTTAAGCTCTCAAATATTGGAAGAGAGATCTTTTGATGATGTATTTGGAGGCTTCTATGGACTGACATGTGGGAAAAGGATGCTTGTTATTGCAGAATAATTGTTCATTGGCTTTTAGATTTCAGCACAGAATTGTAAGTGAGGACATCAGTTTTTAGTTCCCTGACTCGTACCCCATGCATTTTATCTGTAAGCTAACCACAAAATTTAAAAAGTGTGGTGGTGGTCCCATCATAAACTCTTTATGAGAAGCTGAAAGGAAAAGGATTCCTTGTGCATCTTCTCTCTATTGTTCCCAACGTCTGACTTACAAACAATATATTATCCATGAGACTTTAGAAAAAATTAGAATGTTAAAACAAAGGGCAACAAAGAGATGTAATGTAAAGCTTCATCATTGCATTATTTGCTCATTATTGTTTTCTAAAGGACAGAGAAAAATGAAATTAAATGTAGATGCCATTGTAATAGCATCTATAATTATATATACAGAAGTTATCAATGCATATATCTATGTACCAAATCACTGTTCATTGGAAAAAAATCTTTCTGGTGTGAGGGGCATAAAAATATATGTGCTGAAACTCTTTGCTTATAGGTTAAGAGGTTGCATGTTTTGAACATTTTCGGAAATGTAAATAGTTATTCAAATACTTGCATCCATAAAAGTTACTCAGTCAATGAAAGAAAAGGCAATTGCTCATGTCCACATGTGCACATGAAAGTGAAAGACAAGTTTATGGTAAAAGTCTTGATTTATGCAGCATTTCAGTTTAAATTCCACTTTTTTTTTGTTATTGTTCGATTTTTATATACTGTAGAAGTCTGATATGAAAATTTCATAGCTGATGTTCAGATCCTGAATTCTCACAGGAGAGGCAGGAATGCTCTTGGAAAGATTTTGACTTCAGGTGTGCAGCTTAAGTGTAAAACCTTTCAGTATTAAGGCTACCTAAGGACCTGTATCCTCTAAGTCCATATAGGAGAAGAAACAGAAGATTTCCTTCCCATTTCCTACTCAACAGCTTTCCTTTTCCCTCTTAAGAGCCACACTATTTCTGAAGTAGAGGATAGGCCCTTATTGCCCTGTTCTCCTACAGTAATCCAGTATATTCTGGCTGAAATAACAGAGCAGATTTTATTTAGTATGTGGTAACACTTGTATATTTTTTTCCATCAAACTCTTAACAGTCCATATTTTGTTTCAAAGCTTTTTATTCCCAATTTGGGACTCTACTTTGATGACAGAGGTGAACTTGACCTCAGTGACTTTGGAGAGTGAGGGATATGAGATCTTTTCACTAAATTGGAGCACCTTTGCTTGACATGTGAAGAATTAACCTGCTGGCCATGTAGTTCAGACTTTAATTTTTTCTTTGGTAGAAGTGTCTTTTTGTCCCTACTTCTGATTTATATTTTTTTTTCTCTAAGGAACAGATATGATCTAAACTTTTGCCCTAGGAACAACAATTTCCTAAAACTAGCAGTCATTAAAACGAATGGATGTACAAAATTTACCACTGCTTTGCTGATGAGGGGACAGAAGTAGATTTTTTTATTTTAAGCTTCTTTCATTTTATTTTGATTTTTAATTCTACTCAGAATTTGGTTTCACACTGTCTTATTCCACTTTCTACCTGGTCTGACTCAGCAGCATTCAGCACAGTTGCCTACTGAAGTAGAGCAATAAAATTTGAAGGCAGTTGTGTATCAGATTTTACCAGCACAGAATAGTAGCAACTTTGTGCTAAGAACTGACTTTTCATTTTCCTGTAAATCCACAGGTACATTAATGGTAAGCTTTATTAGTATAGTGCTTTTTCTGTTCTGACCCTGAAAGGAAGGGAACTCACCAGAGGTCCAGGAGGGCCATCCTGACCTGGTGCTCCAGGTAGGCCTTGTTCTCCCTAGAGAAAACACAGAGTTTGCTTTACCAGAGTAGATAGAAGAAATGAGATATTTAAAATATTATTATGTGTTCCCATTACTTACCACAGGGCCAGGAATGCCCCGGAGACCCTCTGGGCCAGGTTTTCCAGCAGGTCCCTGTGGACCAACTGGACCAGTTTTTCCAGGAGCCCCTTCTGCACCAGGTTCACCCTA